GTCTGAACATTGTAACAAAGACACGATATGAACACAAATACAATGACATGAACTGAACATTAGTATATGACATGATCTGAACATCGATACAAAGATGTATAGTCCGGTCATTTATTATTATTATTATCTGAACATTTGACAGATACATGATCTAAATTTCAGCACAAAGACGTGTTATTATGGACAAAGACATGATTTGAACATCAGTATAAAGATATGGTCTGAACATTTGGACAATACGAATAGGCCTACATGATCTGAACATTTGTTCAAGACATGATGTGAACATTTGTTCAAGACATGATCTGAACATTTGTTCAAGACATGATGTGAACATTTGTTCAAGATATGATGTGAACATTTGTTCACAGACATGATCTGAACATTTCTTCAAAGACATGGACAGAACAATGTATAAGATTACAATGTACTTACGATTATACATAAATCCTTTAAGAAGATCTTTAATCTTCACCGTTCTGGCATTACAACTCATGTCTTCTGCTTTCTGACAAGTTATATCCGACCTGGATCGACACAGCTTCTTTATTCTCACGATACGTGTCCGCTCTGGAAGAGATTGTAGAAGACGGTGGTTCATTTTGTATCCGATGGCGATATTTGGTTTGGGAGAGACGTTAGTCCTTGGTGGGATCATCTTTTAACGTTTTTAGCAAAAGATGTTCACTTGGAAGGTTGTCGTAGTATACAGATGTTTAAGTACAGAAATGTCCCGTTTTCCAAATGATTTAGTACGGATTATAAAGATTAGCGACACCAGGCCTGCTAATTAATCATTAGCTAAATAGAGCGCATTTCAAGGACACTGATAGAATTGTGAAAAACTTGATAATTAGACCAAATTGAAATGCAGGTTCCCCCCTCGAAAACTGGTCTTAATTGTTGTTGTTGTTGACGCGTTAGCACGTGCACCTTTGGTCACATGGACAGTCAGCTAACTTTGTTGGGTTGGTTCGATTTGCTGTTCTGTTTCGTTTTCGTCTGGAAATTTGAATGTGACACTCATGCTGTATTCGTTTCCACTCCAATAAATGCAGAGATGGTGCGATATCATGATAAACCCTATCTTCACAATAGTCAATGTATTTCAAACTTCGTCTTATAACTTGCCTGCAATAGCCACCTTTTTGGAGTTCGTAATACCTTGACCATAGTGAAGATGGAGAAACCCTGGCCATTATAGCCCCTGATTTCATGTGTATACTAGATCAATCAGCATCATGATCATAACTATGGTATTTAACCCCAGGACCACTTTAAGAAAAAATAGACCATGGACCGCAATTGATTACCTCTTAGAACGGCTCCAGTGGTACCTGAACTGTTTCTGTAATGCTGAATCTGTTGTTGCAAATGGAATTCGCAATAGCTTATACATATTTAATATTCAAAGTGACCTTGCTTAAAATGTTTCAAATCTTTAATGGTTTACTTTAAGTCACTTTTGATCACACAAGTATAGCAGTAAATGGACTATGGATGATAACTTTGGTACAGATGCAGTTGGAATGAAACTATGCTCTGCCACAACGTTTCCAAAACGAGCCATATGCCTTAACTTACCTTATGCATCAATTACACAGCATATTTCCTCTATTGCATTACTAATCTTATCTCCAACGGTTATTCGTGAACAGAATATAATAAGGGGGAACTTTATCAAGTGTGGGATTTTAAAGAGATGGTCGCTTCGCTTCGCCTAGTGGTGTTCAAAAGCATCGTCTACTTAACGAGAAAGGAACCAAGATCAGATCAATGGCAAAGTCTGCGACTTGATGTCTATTTTGTTAGAAATATTTGCACAACCAGTGCTCTAAAGACTCTTCCAATTCGAAACCACAACCTTTTTTTACACAAACATTATGTAATATGGGGTAAGCCAATTTTAAGTACACCCACTATACGGATTGAGATAAAGATGACCCCAATTTCACTATCACTAATCCAAATACTATGTCAACAAACCCCCATTTCTAATTTCTATGAAAATCTTAAATTTATTGACTTATTGTTGACACTGATATCAACACTATTAGTGTGGGTGAAAATATAGGCGAGGGAGCCCTAAATCAAAGAGCCCTAAATCAAATGAGTAATAGTATTATAGCGTATATTTCATGGTGTCCAAAATACTCTAGTGACACTCTTTTACTAGCTCTGCCCAATAGAACTGAGAGGTTGTGTACCACCGCCCCGCACTCTACGCTTAGGTCTGGGTAGTCCTGATATCAAAATATGATGGGTGATACCCAGTACAATTGAGCCTCACTAAACTGTCTTGTCAAATTAGCAAGTAGATAATACTTAGTTGATCAAGTTGAAACTCGGAAGCTGTAGGCCTACGCGATTGAAGATTTCAGTGGTACATACCCTTTTCAGGACCTTGCATGACGAGTGATTCCTGAAAATGAATAAATAAATGCAACTCTTACCCTGAAAGTCTGACAGTTTGATCCTCAAACTTTCAATTATTTTTGCTCAATTAAAATTTGAAAATAATTTTAAAACCACAGTATGTCAGATTGTTATCCTCAACAAATCAACTTTTAGCTATGGCCTACACTGAAGATACATGAATGAATGGATTGGATGCATTTAACTTGCTGGATCCGATACATGATATCTTTGAACAGACAGTGGGTAAGATTATTTGAGTTTTCTGATATCGAGACAAATCCATGCATAACTTACGAATGTCTGCTTTGCAATTCTTTTTTGTATATTTTATTTAAAAAAATATATGTTCCGTATATTTTGAAAACAAAGAGACGGCGCAGTTCATACGCTACGTTGCGTTATATTTAATTTTTGGAAATCTACCCATCGTGCCCAAACCACATCCCCTTTCGTCATACTTCCTCAAGGTTAATAAGACCATGCCAAAACCCGTATTCGGGATTACCCTCCTACGAAAACAGATTACAGTGTCTGTGCCTGTACATGTGCCTGTGTTAAATTCCGGTATACTGTGAGTTTAAAATAAATATCTTAAATTTAAAAAGGTTACTTGCTCATTATTTGGATGCTATTCAAAACATATATAAACAATCGAGAGTTTAATTACATTTTAACTATCAATAATATCAAATTAATAATTTTTTAATTTCGCGAAAACAAAGCATTAAAGAGCAGCTTCGTGCACTTTCATAATAGTTTTTTTTATGAATTATATAAATAAAAAAATCGTTTGTACTCGGTTTATTTATTCTGATCTAAGTCATTATTTAAAAGATTTATGATATAGTAAAGCGGAACTTTTATTGTAGGCTGATATTCTGTGGTAATTTGCTTTTATATTAAGCATTTAATGTTTTCTATTATGTTGATAATTAACAATTATTGTTATGTACAATTTGACCTGATATGAACCTTGTGAGCGGACTATGGTGTATCATGTACAGTATTTTTTTTATCTTTAAGACAAATTTGTTCCAATGCTCTGCATCTGTAGCCTAATTCCATCGAGCTCTAGAGATTGCATACATTTTTCTACTCTAAATATGCTATATAAGAAGACAGTCGAATTTTGTGATACGAAATAAAAGATTTTTGGTGTCGTCTGATTATTCCTATCGTCGAATGGTTATCTCCCTTGAATTTGGTTTCCTCTCGTAAAGATTGAAATAGTGTAATGTAAATAATGAATTATAGTCGATAAAGGAAAACAAATTTCCTTCTCTTTTTTTTTATCTGAAATGCTTCATTGAATGATAAGAAAACTGTTCGTATTTCAATGATATTTAACTTTGAAAATATATTTTTGAAACTATAGATAAAATTATAGCATTATGAAAATCATACTAAGATTTTATCGATTAGTTTAGACTTCCTCAAACACGTGTGGAACAAACATGGCGACTGTTTCAGCGAAAAGAAAAGCTCAGACGCTAGAATCTAATAATATTGTACGTAAACTGTCTTAGTTTCTTATTTCTGTTTGCATTTCATAAACAAGAATGTCTAATATTCTAATTTTTAAATTACAAAGCCCATCGTCTTCGTGGATCAGTGTGTAAACAACATTGTGTCTCATTAAATTAACCCCCACCCCCCTCCTTTCTCATGAACCTCCCTTTTGTTGTTTCTGCGAATCTGATCATTTTCATTATGAGAGTAAGACCAAGGGACTAGGATTTTAAAAATTCAATACATGACAATACCGTAAATCTATCGATTGTACATGATGCTCTGGAAACTCACATTGTGGTATTTTTGCAAGATGTCTACTTCGCCTTTTTTAGTTTTCACAAGATCTTACAGAATTGCAGAGCCGAATTTAGGCCTCAAGACATAAGCCTCTCTTGTGCATTTTGCATTTACCAAGCCTTCAAAACTGTTTCTTGTTGATCTTGCATCTATCAGGCTATTAATCATATTGTTGTTTACAGTTGGATCCTGATGGTGTTGAGCTATTTAAAGATGCCCCTCCAGATTCTGATGAGGACGATGGAGATACAACAGATTCTGATTCCAGTGTGTATTCAGGATTAGAGGATGAACCTGACACTAGCGAGGATGAGGATCAGGAGGAGGATGATGATGAAGATGAAGAAGATGATGACAATGAAGATGATGATGATGATGATGATGATGTTGAAATGGAAGATTCAGAGGTATGAAACTTTTTAGTCTGTCATTTGTGTACTGACTTTTGCATTATTTTATTTTTTTGTCTGATTTTGATTCTGAAAATTGAAGCAGATAGGGGAAATCCAGTTGTTAAAACAATGATTAAGGCAACTGTGAAAGCAGTAGAATATGTGTCAATCAATCAATTATTACATTACAATTCCTTCAGTAAACATTTGATGATATTGCTTTGTTTGAGTCAAAAGATATATTATAATAAATAAATCAGCTTAAAGGCTGGTGTAATGATTTCATTAAATGAGTTTCATTTGTAGGATGAAGAACAGAGTGATAATGATAATGATGATGATTTGTTAAAGAGAAAAAAGAAATCGAAATCTGACTTGACTATGCCATCATCGACAAGCACATTACCTGTTAAAAAGATTGAGAAAGAAAGAAAGATAACTCAGTTGCCTGATGAGTATGAATATGACTCTTCAGATGAGGAGGTAAATATTTCGTTACGTATGTCAACATTTATTTCCCCTTCTTGTAATATTTGAGCCGACTTAGAAAAAGCGTCTAATATTTTGGATAAGACAAAAAATTGATGCTTTGTGTTGGATATCAATTACTACCAATATCTGGCAAAATTTTCGTGTTTGTATTAAATGACTCTTTGTAACAAGCACTATTTGAGTATCTATTGAATGACAAGATTTTTGTTTTGTCTGTGCAAAATCTTTTCTTGCAAATCTCTTAGTGACATTCCTACATTTATTCATAGAAAAAGAACTGAGTTTCTATGTCTTAATACAAAGGTCTGTCTTTCAGGATATCAGGAATACAGTAGGTAATATACCAATGGAATGGTATAGAGATTATGACCATATTGGATATGATGTTGAGGGGAAGAAATTACTGAAACCACAGAAAGGAGATCAACTTGATGAATTTTTAGATAAAATGGAAAATCCAGACTATTGGTGAGTATTGTGCATGAATAGCAATGTTTTAATTTGAGAGTTATGTCTTGATTGATATAATTGTTCACATGTGGTAGATTGGTGATATCTGCATATATACCTGCGATGGCAATGTCATAAACATTTAGTTTTAGTGTAATAACAAGAACCACAAAAATTGGAATGGTGCAAATCAATGCTATCAGTGTGCCTGATACACTGTGAAAGTTAAAAGAACTCTTTACTATCCTTTTAAGTTGACTTATTTTTTTTCTGTATATTTATTTAACAGGAGAACAGTAGATAATAAATCAACAGGACAGAAAGTTCTACTCAGTAAAGAAGATGTCAATATTATTCAAAATATGCAGAAGTTTAAAAACCCTACTGGAAGTAATATGTATGAGGTAGGAAAGCTTTGCGTTCTTTATCAGTTTTACTCTGTAATTTCCACTGCAGTTTAATTACAACAACAAAATGTTTTCACTGTAGAGCGATATAGAAATATTGGAACACAAATCACAAAAACAATTCAATACTGTGGTATTATGAAATTAAACACACTTGTTCATTCTTAATAATTGTTTTTTTTGTTTGCGATATGCTCCTTGTTTCCAAATGATTCCAAATCTTATTAAAACAGAACCTGAAATATATTGTAAGGTTATGTTTGTATTTTTGTAGCCATGGGTAGATTATTTTAGTAACGAAAAGATGATACACCCAATCTCTAATAGACCAGAAACTAAGGCATCGTTTGTACCCTCCAGGTGGGAAATGTTAAAGGTAGGTTAATTTCAATAGTTTGTGTTAATTCAGGCCAACATAGATCTCCAGTGGCTCAGTGAGTTAGACGCTCCAGGGTTCAATCCTGACATGGGTTGAGATAATATTTTTCAACTCCTTTTCCTCTGTCAGTGATGTTTGCAAGAGGGGTGGCTTGGAAAAAGCTTTCAAATGGGACAATGAAAGAAGGCCCTGCATGCTACAGGCTGTTCCCTAAACATTTGGCTTGGGTTTATTCATGGTCACCAGACTTTCATACCATTTGGTCTCCCTCATTGCACACTGCATGACATTGCCTATTGAAGTACATACTATATGTCTGGTCTGACTTATACAAGGTATCACAAATGGTTCATGCGTTGAAGATGGGATGGATGAAACCTTCAAGAGAGAAGACAGTACAGAATGAAGAGGAGGAGAATAAATTTTATATGTTGTGGAAAGATGATCAAGAGGTGAGTCTGAAGTCGGTAGCAAGGTAAAATTTAGGGGTAGGTGGATCTAGTGGGTATTACAGTAAAGAGAATGTTAGACGAAATTTCACTCTGTGACCATCATTTGCTACTAGATCTTAGCATCCTGTATTACTTATCAAAATAAATATCTGACACCAGGTTTTTCTACAAACAATAGAAAATTGACTAACTGAAATAGCATCAGTTTACCTTACAGTCTTGCACACTATGATCTTAATGTTTTCCATACCTCTCCATCTCTTATTGTTTAGTTTATTTAATCTGTGTTGCCTTTTTTGATAACATCTTAGAAATTGACAAGTTGAATATTATACTCATCATTATACTAATATTTTGATGTCCTCTTTCAGTCTGAGATTACCAAACAGTACCGTCAATATATACCAGCACCAAAAGTTAGACTTCCTGGTCACGCTGAATCTTACAATCCTCCTGAAGAATATCTACCTTCAGAAAAACAGGTACCAGCTTAGAATATTTTGAGCCAGTTGAGGAAAGAAAGGCAATGTGGTGTGCAATGTTGTAAATTTCTCCAGCATTAAACCCACTGTTTTTCAAATTCTAGATATATTGAATTGAGATTGTAATAGGTCAAGATTACCTTCAAATAGAATTACTTATTTATATATTCAGTTAAAATTATATCCAATTGAATTACTGCACCTATTCAGAAATAATACTGACTATTCTGTGTTTTTAGGTTGAGAAATTAAAGAAGGAGGCTGCAAGAGGTAAACCTAGATTAATCCCAACCAAATTTTCATCTTTACGACTTGTACCAGCCTACGCCAACTATATTAGAGATAGATTTGAAAGATGTCTAGATTTATATCTTTGTCCACGTCAAAGAAAAGTTCGTGTAAGTAGACGAGCTCCATTGGTGCCTTATTGTTAGATGGGGTGCTAATATTTACTCTGGTCAGACACCATAGTATTAAAATTATTCTAATATGCCAAGTTTGACTTTTGTAGGCATCTTCCTGAATAACTGACTAAGTATTTGACTGAGTTTCAAATATTTGAAATTATTTTAATATATTCCCCACTTATGAACTAATATTTGTGTATTGTTTACAGATGAATGTTAACCCAGAAGATTTGATACCCAAATTACCCAAACCTAGAGATCTACAACCTTTCCCTACTACAGAATCATTGGTAGGTGTTATCTAATCTAACTCTATCTTACTTTCAGCTTGGCAATGACATATTGAACTCTGGTTTGTACAATGTATGTAGAATAAAGAGTATATTTGCTTAAACAGTTGAACAAATGGGACAAAAAGGGACTTGTCTTGCTCTGGTTGGAATTTGAGTTAGTTCAGATTCAAAGACATCAAGTTTGTCCCTTTTTAGATCATTTTGTCAGCTTTGTAAGGTGAATTACTGTTACATGTAAACTTAACTCCATTTACAAGTCTCTTTGACATGTAGCATTTTATAAATATAACAATATATACTATATTTACTGTAGGTATTCAGAGGACATAAGGGTATAGTAAGATGTATTTCACCTGATCCTAAAGGACAGTGGATAGCTTCAGGTAATTATTGTCATCATTTTAAGTCTGTTATTCCAAAAGTATGATTTGAGGCTTTTCTAAACAAAGAGGTGTTAATAATATGCATTCAACTTTGCTTTTGTTAAATATGCTGAAAAACATGACTAGCAAATGATTTAACCCTAGCTAGTCTTCTATTGACACAAATTAGGTCCTGATTATTACGCTGTTTTGTTAAAGGTTATATTTGGGAAACATTTATATATTTTATATTTTGTTGTGTAATGGTTTATAATTTGTAGGTTCTGATGATAAAACAGTAAAGATATGGGAAGTAGCGACAGGTCGTTGTATTAAAACATTTAAACTAGACAGTAAAGTGAAGAGTATAGCCTGGAATCCCAACCCATCTCTTTCTATTATAGTTATTGCTATGTAAGTTTATACTTCCTTATTCCTCTCAAATATCTGTGAAATAAGGGGTTATCAGTGGAGTAGAAAAATCAATGTATTTATCTCTCTGAAGGAACAATATCCCAAATTATTTCCCTAAACCGAAAACATTCAAGGTTTTAAAAGTATAGATGAAATCTTTTTTTTTTTCCCAGAGAAACTTGTTTAATTTTAATAAATCCTGAAGTTGGAGATAAATTATTGTCCAGTAAAACAGATACCTTGATCAGTTCCTTCGAGGAGGTGGAACCACAACCTGGTCCAAGTACTGGTAGGTTAAATTAATTCTTGCTATTTATCTCATGAATATTTGTTTGAAAAATTATCTTAAGTGACACAAATTTGACTTATCAGTACCTCAAACGTGGTAAAAGAATGAGATAATAGGTCACTTTTATGGGAGTTACTCAAATCAATTTTTGGATCGCTAGTTTGTGAGAATTTCTACCATGACAAAAGCCATTACTTTTCATTTTCATTACTTGGTATCCACACGAAGCCAAACAATTAATAAGTCCAATCAAGATATCACCGCATATTCTTCAATGTCACTGATCTTTACCAACTACTATAATACAGTCTAGGGGTGGTGAGTTGTGAGAAGGAGGGGAAAGCCTACCCCTAAACTGTATTCAAAGTTTCATTCTTCTATTTTAGATAAACCAAAAGTATCTGAGTGGAATGTGTATGAAGATAAGGAATATGAAGAAGGATACCGTTTAAAAATACAACATCAGCGAGAAATATCACACGTTACTTGGCATGGCAAGGGAGACTACTTCGCTTCCACTCTACCAAAAGGTGAAAGTAAATCAGTTTTAATACATCAGCTGACTAAACGAAGGTCACAGGTAAGTTGGGCTTGTCGTATTATATGATTTGACAAGATTTATTAATAATTCAGACTATATCAGTTATATATGATGATAATGATTAAAGGAAGCTCACTTCAAGATATAATGTATCTTAAACGCATCTAAATATATCCATCTAACAAAACTAAATTGTAGCCATCAGTAGGATTTTTCAAAATTAAAATCTGAAGACACATCCTCCCAAAATTTAAGCAAAAAAACTTATATTTGAAGGCAATTAGTATTTCTATTATTAGTATTTTGTTATCTAATTTCAGAATCCATTCTCTAAACCAAAAGGATTAGTACAATGTGTTTTATTTCATCCTATCAGACCATTCCTGTTTGTAGCTGTAAGTACCACTGATACATTACTATTTTTACTTGAATTTGATCTTCCTGAAGAGCTGCAGTGACTCCTCTTAGTGAGAAGCTAGATTTTAACTAAGCTTTTTTTTATTGTAGACTCAAAGATATGTACGTATTTATAACTTGATGAAGCAAAGTTTATCTAAGAAGTTGGTAGGAAATTGTCGCTGGATATCAAGTATGGCTGTACATCCTGGAGGTATGTTATTATTAACTTTGTTAGGGATGGTGGGGAGGTACATTATAATTCATTTTGTTATGGTTAGGGCAGGCTGACTTCATTTGGGACTTTTTAAGGGTTGAGATTCCCAATTTGAAAGTGTTCTTGCCACAGGCTTCCAAAAAGAAGCATTGATTTCTTGCATTTTGTCACATTTTTAGCCAAAAATGTATGTAAAACGTGTCTTGAAGTTTCTTAGAACTGAAATAGAGGTACAAACATTTTTTTAGAGTGTAAATATCCTTACTGTAACCCCATTGGTATTATCTCCTTATTTTACTAGCCCCTAATATTATTGACAGTACACCCTATGATTAGGGACTTTATGAAGTTATATCTTGGAGGTTGATTATTATGCTGGGATTGAAATGTGTATTTTATTATATTGTAGGTGATAATGTTATAATCGGAAGTTATGATTCTAAACTATCTTGGTTTGATTTAGATTTATCAACTAAACCTTATCATACACTCAGGTAAGATTCTCTCATGTTTCCCTCATTTCACACTGCATAGAGTTGTCCATCCTCAGAAGTGCAAACAGGAGCAGATGTTGGAACCCTGCTTGTTAGGACACTGTTATAAGTTGGTTACCTTTTTGAATCTTAACCTTGAAGGTCAAACCTTATTGACTAACCTTTATCAAATTCTTTATAATGGACATTTGGTGACGTATTTGAATTTTTTATTTTTAAGAATATCTGTCCGTGTAATTTGTAGATCAAATTCAACTAATTAATGTATCAAAATATGTCAAAATTTCATATGTCCAATATTAAAAATAAAATATTTCTTTGTTTCAGACATCACACTAAAGCCTTACGACAAGTAACGTACCATAAACGCTATCCTCTCTTTGCCTCGGCTTCTGATGACCTGTCAGTTATAATCTGTCATGGAATGGTGTACAGTGATTTATTACAGAACCCTCTCATAGTTCCAGTTAAAATATTACGTGGACATAAAGCTGCTAAAGGTCTGGGTGTTCTAGACTGTCAGTTCCATCCTTCACAGCCTTGGATATTTACTGCTGGATCCGATTCTACCATCAGGCTCTTTACTTGATGTGGAATTTTCAAATATAAGTTTACAATTTAACTATCAGATACTATCAGCTGTATACTGGAGACAGTGGTCGCAGTGACCAGATATTAAAGCTGCTTGGCTCAACTTTTTAGCTCTGCTTATTTCAAAATTGAGAACAATTTTTACATCATTTAACTAGATAAGGGTAAATAGCAGCCGAGGATACTCTGTTAATTTAATTGGTTACCATTGAAGAATTATTAAAGGTCTTTTCAGTGTGATCATGTGAACTGTTCTGTTCTTGATATTTGCCTACAACAGCCCCAGCCCTGGTTTATTGTGCAGTATGTCAGTATATTTTAGAAAATTATCATCTATCCTATCACAATCAGTCAGTTGGTTTCCTTTAAAAGATATTAACTGATTCTACAGACAAAACGTCAAATGGATTGCAACGGCTAAAAACTGCATCAGTCAGAATTTATTAATGTATTAATTGTTTTGTTTATGTATAAATGTAAATAAATTTGATCATGTAAAAAAGAGTTCACTATTAAGATAAAATGGTCTGTTTGCCATAGACCGAGGATAGTTAAAATTGAAGATTAGGTTGTCCTGCCCTGTACCCCCATTGCTAATTACATTGCGTTCCCCGTCTTCTTTAGCTAAATAGGAGCAGCATAGTCGGGTATAAGAAACAAAATCACTTCCGATATTATTTAATCATGATTGGCCTGGTTTCCTCCCTCCAGGAACTGCCTCAATTTTAACATTATCAAACATAGCCAGACCATAGGGATAGGTTCCAAATCCTACGAAACCTAGAATTGGTTCTTCATTAAACCTTTGAAGAAATATTCTTTCACCATTTAGATATCCTAGGGCCAAATCAGCCTGGAAAAATAAAAATAAATATGTGACAGAAACGAAATATTTGCTTTAGTACGCCTTTGATTGGGTACTCGGCGCTGATATTATAGAGAAAATATAATTATGCCTACCACAACTACTAGTTTCATTGTCGAGAACTTATCATCCGGAAGTGACGTCGTTAGTTTCCCATGAGCGTATCTTCTCTGTCGTACTCGAAAAAATACAATAAATAAGATATTGTGAAATTTGTTTTTAACCTTTTGTTGCTTATCGACATAGATAGCATTGATTTGCACCATTCTATTTTCAGTCAGACGTCTGTGGTTTATCGAATTTGGAACTTGAACGTACGGTGTCTTCCACAAGAGCCAGTTGTGTGTCCCATGGTTTAAACACCCTCGCCCTTTCCGATCTGCATCATTGACAATTGGAGAGCCACAAAACAGGAGGATATCACCATTAAGTTTAGGTACGAAACGCCTTTTCTATTGTCAAGCCTTGCGATCTGCATCAGGGACAGTTGGAAACTTGAGGAGTTGGACAATACAGGAGAAAAGGGTCACTGAAAGGGGGAATCCCCAGTAAAAGGACTTAACTTACAGAAGCCAACATAGAACTGCCATGTATCATTTTTAGGGTTGATATAGAAATAAACTCCCATAGCTATATTTAGTCGACAGGAACCATGATCAATACGGGCTCCCAGAAATACAGAATCAGTTGTATTTTCACCTGCCACTAGGAAATCTACTTGTATTGATATGTCTGTCCTATAATGGAAAATGAAATGATCTTTTTACATCTTAACTACAGGGCGCATCGAACTGAAACCGGGGCCTCGGTTCGGGATTTTCATTACCATCCTCAACCGAAGATATATACCCCAGGCTATGCGGGGTTTGAAACCTAGACATGAGGTTAGCGAGCAGGCATCTTACTCATTGTGTCATCGTGGTGTTTATAAGACAAATGTGAACTTGCCAGGCTGCCATGAAACATATTCAATTAACCATGTTACAAGTAACAGTCTTAATAGGGTAGTCTTTGAATTCGGATATTAGCGCTGTAAAGTATCGAACTTGAACACACCAATAATAGTTTCCAATGATAGTTAATGATGTGTTTTGAGCGTCGATTCCACAGCCTTTTACTCCCTCCTCTAATACCATTTGTTGTAGAACCTTGTTGCCCTGGTATTCCACGACATCAAACGCACCGGTCTGCTGAGCCAAATTATAGGCATCACCGCTAATATTATACCCTGCAAAATAAAGCTTAGATTGGCAATGTTCTCAAGGACAGCAACTATGTGAAGGTATAGTATACTTCAATAATATTATATCGTATAGTTCCTGTGCAGTAGTCATAATAGCTTTTAAGACAATTTTAACCTAAATGTCACAGACCACAACGCCTCCCCTTAAAACAATTATACCCAAAATCAAACTTTTTTTCGGCTTAATAAATTTATCTCTGTGAACACAAAACGAAAGTAAACACGTACTTTCAAAATCGTCAGTATAAGGTAGCGGAAATGGTTGAGATGCTGGTGGTTCTGGGTACAATCCTTTCTGTCCAGTTGTTAACGTTGTTAGAGTCACTACTTCATCTACACCCATAGACAATGTAATCATTCCCTGTCCATCTACCTAACAGAGAGATATTTCGTTTAAAATGAATATACAACAGGTGCGTGGAGCGCAACAGCGAGCACAGCAGATTAAATGGGTTTGAGATTCATGTGGGCGCGGGGGGTGGGATTGATCGAAACAGAAATAGATTTTACTTGATGATTGCGCGCTGCAGATGCTTGGATTTTGAGGTTTTGGTGTGGAGTGATAAGGAATTGTTCGAGTCTCCTTACAGAAAAAGACTGCATACATTATGACTTGATGATTGAGAGCAACAATTATAAGTGCGTTGACTAAAAGGTTCTTTGTGCACAGGAGGAGAGATTGCACGAACTTCTTTACAGAAGCAATGAAAGTTCTTACCATAACAGGAGAAGACTGTTGGAAAATTGTAGAATTCTGAACATAAAAACCAAATTTAGTTTTCCACACGTTGAGCTGTTTGATGTTCGCCTGCAAATTACGAAATGAGAACATTCGACAATTTAATGTCTCTTTTCCTTTTTGGAAATTGATAAATTTTGAATATGGGGTTTTGCATATTTGAGAACTGTTTATCTGTGTACTCCCGCCCAGGATACCTACACCTCCAGAGAGCTTGCTATTCTACAAACTGTTCTTGTTTCAAATTCAAACTTAATAGCACGAACTTACATAGGAACCATTGAGATGGAATGTAACATTTTGTGGAGAAACGTCGTACAATGGTAAACCAGGTCGAATACATATAGAATGAACCCGGCTCTAAAAAAAATTTCATTTAAATAAAATCTAGCAATTGTTCTGGAACATATTTAACCATGGAGAAATCCGTGATAAAAATCTACACACATAATCAAAAACTGGATTAATCAAGATGGTCATAAATGATAAAGGAAATTTAAGTGTTTAAGAAAAAGATAAACACCTTCTGTGAACAATGCCCTACCACCAACATAGCATCTCAGATATCTAAACTGGTGAATTAAAGGGTTCTTTTAATTTTTACGCAATTCCTCAGATATATGAATAATACTGAAAGTTGACCGACCATAGTTTCAATAACAATAGTTAGCTCCTTTCTATCTGGTGACGTCAATGAAACGTAACTTCCACCACTGTTTAATAAACCAACTCCATAACTATGACGTAAATATGTCCAACCAACTTCTGTGAACTGTGTTGTGTGCGCTGAAAACGAAATTGGACACAGAACTTAACTCAATCATTTATCAATATTTTAAGGTAATAAATTTCTGTCAGATGTCTGTAGTTCCTGTAATTCTAGAAATGGCTAGTTGGTCATGGTCTGTATTCAATATAGTTAACACGTTCTCAATTACTTTACACTGAGTATTGTTTCTAAGGAATAAGTTACATAAACTGACCAGCAATCCAGATAGGTGATTTAACTTCATAATGACCACTCCAGGGTTCGGCAGCATTCATCAGTCCTTGATAGTAAAACGGTAGAGGGAAATAGTAGGATGTTAACATATTCCATGCTATTGTTCTGAAATGTGACCATTGAGTCAAATCAGCACCTTTCGCTAGTTTCCATTTAGCTGAATGCGTTTCGGAGCCTACGGTGAATCTTCTGATAAAATTTAAAGTAAAATGTGCACCATAAAATACTAAAGACAGACTTGAATACTTACGCGGTCATGTAACCATTCACATAATTCTGATTTATAATCTGAAATAGAAATACAAATATAATAAAACAGAACCTGAAACATGTTGATACTCAAAGTGTCACACTGGACCATCTCCTTTGTATACATGTAATTTGAAATGCGTATTTTTTTGTTTTTGACCTGTTCTTTTATTGACAAGTAAATACCAAGAACTGAAATAGTTGTATTCGTTGTCTCTCTCTTCTTGTCACATTTTGGTTGAGGGTCAGGACTGAAATACTAAGAGATTTACCCTGGCCAGACATCCTCCACCGGTCTCATCATTATAGGTACTATAATCAGCGGACGCCCACAAAGTCAGGTTGGTTTTCAAGGCAGATCTGGTCGACTTAGTTCCAGGAAAATGGGCACTGAAAGCAAGAATCGAAAATATTTTTGTTTATTGCCCCTAACCCTCTCCAACTACATCCTCCCAGAATCATCTATGGCTACCAGAAAGATACTCGTAGCCAATAAGGTTATAATACAATATGCACGTGCTTTATTTGCGTTTGGGTAAGTCGTGAACTTTTATGTTAAAAAATGTATGTTTTACATTAAAGCCCCCGAACATCCAGCAAAATGTCAAGAGTACTTTGACATTTCCAAATTTCAGGATCTAAGGAGTACAACATAACTAAAAAATTCCTAGATTTTGGGGTGGATACAATCCTTTTATACACGCAACGTTTCCACCACTACTTACCCAATTATTGACAATGATTTAGCTAAACTTGGATCTTTTAAAACATCATCTGCTATATTCCATACACCATCAGGACCGACTATTTCGGTTCCAGTAAAACCAGCTTGATCTAATTGATAGCGCAATATCTATATAACGTAATAGAACAAAACACAGGATGATTTACGTAGTTTGGGTTGGTGTTTTGTTCTGTTCTGTACTGAAACACTGGATGTATCAAACCTCTTTTGGATTTTATCTCGTGGAGGGTATATGCTTGTTATTACAAGGTATAGATCCTTTGGGGATAAAACAATGTATTGCTATATTTTGCCTGCGTTCATAAAACTTTGCAATGTGTTGATATTGATCATATAATACGGAAATTAAACTGCCTACCTTAATATACTCTACACTCCATGGTTTTTCATTCCACAACTAAAAACAATAAAATATACCATAAATTCAGTCTTAGATCACTACAGTAGTTTAGTACCTAGATTTTAAGTCTTGTCTCTAACGTCAGATATGCTAGTTAGTGGGTTACAGTGAAATAGACAGAGAGCGCTTACTCTAACGCTTTGTGATCCGTTATATCTATATTATCTTTCACAACGGCATAACTAAGTACCTGCTTGGTGCTGAAAGGGCTTTCTTAATAAACCCACCGTCCAATCAGAGAAAAAAACTTACCCCAATGTAGTCTATATCCAGGTTATGTACAGTTTTAGCCCCTCGTACCCAGTTTACAGTATATTTAGCAGTACGATTAGGAAATCCCCAAGGAGTTCCATTGGAATCCCTCAACCACCCGGGATATCCCCACGACAAACCGTACAGTTTTACATTTGGATTAATCTGAAATTACAAATGTTTTCTATTACTCTATTAATCAAATCAGGTTGAGCAGGGTTCCAGCTATTTAATTGTCTGGTTTTACAGACCCTGTCTGTATAAGGCAAATGGTGTAGTATCAGAAGACAAGCTACTGTCGTTAGCGGTCTCATATTTAATCGTCGGTGCTCGATGGGTAATATGGTTGGGGTTTTGCCCTGCGAAAAGGCTAAAAATACGAACCAAGATATTTAAAAGATTCGAACCTTTTTCACTTCTTTCATCAGCCACCATTCATATCCTCTTTGGTAATTCTCGTCCCATGGATTGTGCATGTGGGACGACTCAGTCCCAACTGAAATCAGATATCATCAAAGACATATACATGTATACTGGATAAATTGAATTGAATGGGGGTTATTGAAGTTTTACTAATATATAATATAAATAACTATAAATATAAATATTAAATATTAAACCTAGGATTCTGAATCTATTATTACCTGTGGTCTCTTCATCTCCACCAACTTCAACTTTTAAAATATCTAAAGAAGCTCCAAATCCTGGCTATAAATAATATTAAATAATTAGATACAAAATTAATATGAAAACATAGCACAGAAAACAGAGACAAAGGGATTAACACGTACCCATAGCAGTGTATACCGTGATGCTTGCTTAAAAGCTTGCTTGGGAATGCTATTTAATGGAATGGAGGATCCTTGTGAATGAAAGCGTAGCCATTATGAGTAGAAAAAAATGATAAAATGACAATAACTTTCCTGAAAAACTGCTTTCCGACATTATTTTCGCAATCGACTGCAGAAAGTAGGGCATAAAACTCCATTCATTCAGTTAGTTACATTAAAACTACATTACAGAACGTAGAGACATATAGTTTCATCAGTATTGTTTTATACCAGCTGATACAGTTTTTTCAGAATTTACCTTAAATAAATAGTCTAATATCTGACTTCGTAATTCTGGATGATAATTTCTTAATAATTTACACGTGGCCTGAAATAATATACAAGTGTATAATTGGAATGACAGGTTGTTTCAACTCGTTGCGTAATTTTAAGTACGTGCAATCTAATAAAATTTCATTACATATATTATTTTTCGTCTTTGTTGTAATCTAACAAGTTTTCTATCACAGTCCCGTTCTAATGACGTGATTTTTAACCATTCAAAGCGTGTAAAGTAGGATACCTGTCTTAATAACAGTGAAAATTGTAGTGGAGTCTGGAGTGTATACCAGAGTAGAGCAAATTGACAGCCTTTTTATTTATCTCGGATATTATTGACAAAACCAGGCCTACCGTCCCACTGATACCGCCAATTCCATCAAACTGTCTACCATAACCGTGACTATCATCTACTTGATAGACTTGATTGTCAATACTAAGAGGTGAAGAATGCTTTTGAGCATGAATTACAGTTGATGATATCCAAATAACTAGCAAGTAGTTGGGTAACCTTGCCATTTTGAATCACTGACACCTTATGGTTGATATAGATTGTTGGTGTCACACGATTTTGCAATCAAGTTTATCTTCGTAGACTGTCAGTAATGATAACATTTATCTATAATAGATTTTGATAACTAATTGAACTGATCTGCACTAAAACAAGTGGAAAGTAGAATGTATTTGTTATTAATGAATTATTACTTTAAAAGAGATTGGTTAAATGACTCTACCAGCAACATATTTCGAGGCTATATTCCTGTAATATATTGCGCTTGAGTATGATGTATTGAATCATCTATATTGAATGGTGACCTTATCAAGAAAGTAATAAAAGTGAATAGCTAATAAATAGATAAGATAGAGACATGTCAAATATCACTAAATATTCAATTATCAGTTTCTTATTATTGCTGTGGGTACACAATATTGTACGTAGATCTGCATGGGCCATTTCGTGTTTTTTATGCACTCCACTCAGCTTCTGTTAGATTGTGTTCAGTCCAACTTCAGACCGATATCGTCATCAAAGAATTCCATCCCAAACCTCCCCCTACCCAGAGACTTTTTTCCAGAACGTAGCATATGATATGTTAATAGTTATTAACCAATGGTTTGTGTTTGATTTTGGTGGTTAGGGGAGAAGGAGGGGGTGGTTAAAAAAATCCGCATGAAAAGTAACAACCAGATCTTTTGTGTTGCAATATCATTACTCATTTCCACAAGGTATTGCGGGAATACAGTTTGGTTAAGAAAAGCTAAGATAGGGACAACAGCTGATAAATCATTTTGTTTGAACTGTTAGACTAAAAAGGCGATCGATTGAATCTAAACAGGTTTATTTTTATGTTATTATTATTTATGAACTGTTTGAATTGTTGTAGTATTAGGTTCAGAAATTTGATCTCTAAGTGTATTATCCACTTCAGAGCACAATGAAAATAGCTAACAATATAAAAGTATAGCCAAGATTGTATTTGATATACTGGTCGAATATTTGATAACATTATTTTTAGATTACATATCATATTGCTTATCATAGAGATATATGGCAATTAGGTAGCAGTGGATATCTGAACAGTGTTTTATTTATCGAATAACACCGTTTCTACTATTATATTTTCATTAATGAGGGTCACATGAACACATCTTTTAAATAGAAATATTTGAATATTTTGAACCATTTAAATGTTCTTGTAGGTCTACCAGATATAATTTGTTTAAAAAATTGGGCTAAAGAGGATAAAGGTTTATATCTTCCCCAAGGACACTTTTAATGCAGTTTCAACAAACGGAAATAAAACGAAGTTGTATTAAAAGAAATAGGTTATGTCAGTCGGTAAAATGGGTCGATAATAAAACGTACACATATTGTTTTAAGACCATGCTCAGTACTGCTTGTAGGTCTGCATATATCATTCCTAAAGACCTATTTGTAGTGGTATAACTGTGAGTCAAGTGTAGTTACCAGGTATCTTGGAAGTTATACGATATTTTTATAACCTTTTAACTGATTTTATTACTCAATAGATAATACTTGAGAGAAATTTCTCGGTTGTGAAGAATATTTTATATTGCGAGTGATCTCTTATAGGAATATCAACCAAAGGGAAAGTGTTAAGTGTTTAAAAGTGGATTGTGAGAATTGAACGAGATATTTCATGCTATTCCAAAGAGGCTAAATAATATGCCTTTGAACAGTATAATAATTTGAGGTATGAAAGTTTATGTTAACACATTACGTCATATTTTAGTTAGGTAGGCCTACTATTCAATTTTTTTCAAGTGTCATTCATTCAGTGACATTCTCATGCAAGTTGAAAGATTGTGTCGTTTAAAGATGAGTTACCTTATTTTCATTTATGAAAATGAAAATGCTAATACTTATATGAATAGAAAGTAGAGGTGTTCTAATGACTTGGAAAAATACCAGTTTGTATCACATGTCCATAATTAATTCATAATTAGCTAAATTGGAAGAGAATAACCAGCAGAATTCCAATGAGTGACCGATCAAGATAGGTCAAAAAGTCTTTTTGTGTTTATCCAGACTGTACATACATGGACATTTATGACGATCAAAATCTAACATGTGTGTGACGAATTGAATTTAACTACATGTATAAGACGATACAAAAATCTATAGTAAGCTTCTTTTCGTTCGGACTCTGTCGATTTCGCCTGACTGTTTTTCGGGAAACAAAATCAGCAAAATTCCACAATTCAGGGAGACCTCAGATCGTTTTCTAGAAATGAGAATGCAACAAAAAACAATCGCCAATCTGTAAAAGATTATACCTAACCTTGGTATTAGTTTGTATACCTTAATCTATTGATTGTTAATTGGTTTAATTGATTAACAGCGGTTTGATATTGAACATAATGAATTGATATGGAATGTTTGTTATTTGGCTTGGCAGGACATCGATCAAGATATTACATACAATAACCGCTAGCCATTAGATCAATCACTCTCGTATTCTCTCTAATGTTACTATCATATACCGTGTCTTTTTTTGGCATAAGGGTAGGGTCCTGGAATGATTTGAAGTGTTAGGAAATGATTTTCATAAACTTGATGTTAGTTTACGCTTAGTTATTGTCACTAGCACGGCCGTTGTATGTTACTAGCACAGTTGTTTGTCACATTAAGCACTGTCTTTGTTTGTCACTAGCTCGGTCCGTGTTTGTCACTAGAAGTAGGTCTATGTTTGTCACTTGCACTGGGTCTTTTTTTTCACTAATAAGGTCGTTGTTTACCACCAACACTATATCTATGTTTGTCACTAGCACTATGTCTTTGTTTGTCACTTACACTATGTCTATGTTTTCCACTAGCACTATGTCTATGTTTGCTACTTACACTGGGTCTATGTTTGTCGCTGATAAGGTCGTTGTTAGTCACTAGCACCATATCTTTGTTTGGGACTGATAGATCTTTGTTTATCACTATGGAACTATGTCTTTGTTTGTCAGTATAGCACCAATCCTTTGTTTACCTTTAGCACGGTCTTTTTTGTTGCTAATTTAGCAATGTCTATTTGCTATAACTATTTTCTCTTCTATTTCAGAATTTAATCCAACTCTGTATTCACAATTGATGTTTATGATGAGGAAAATAAAACGAATAGGTAAATGCTGCTTTTTCTTTAAATGCAATTGAGATTTGCGTCCTACGTTTCTGTCACAGACTGACCTATGACGACGGACATTGCAAAGGGTAGGCCTATATTCAATTTCAAAGGACACTAACAATTCAAGTGCAAGTAACTCCTATCAAAATGGGGGCCATTATACCGTCACAATTAACCACATAGTTCAATTGATTGTCAATTATAGACAATATCCATAGGCCCCACTCCTTATAAAGATAAAAGCGGTTTGACATTATTTGACACATACTGGAAAATAAATGTTGATCAATTAAAATGAAAATAATGCTGTTAACTATGTTGTTCCAGGTTTCCAACAAACAGAAGGCCTACATAGCTGGAATGACCATTCTGGTTCCCTCGGTCACCAGCAGAGATACTTAGAAAAACTACAAAAACACAAAACAGACATTTTAGCATATGATCATGAATATCAAAAGGAATTTGGTAGAAGAGTTGCCAGTTTTCAAAAATCGAGACGAGGTGATAACCATTTGGGTTCTTTAAGCACATCCGATTCTAGGAAAACAAGTCGAATGATAAAACATCAACCATTTTTTCAAATTGAAATGTCGCAGACTCCAAGACATGCGCAAGAACATTTGAAATTACCACGTGACCCACGTTACTATGCTGTGAATAAACGTCACGTAAGAACTGAGAGACTGCAACCAATTTCAAAAAAGAGAAAATGTCGAGAAACAAAGTACTCGGACGACATATTAAAATCTCAGTTACAAAGACTAGATACACGTGCAGATCACCAGACGTTCGAGGGAACAGTTCATATCCTGCCAAATATCTCACATACTCCACGAAATACACCAATATCAACTGGTAATATTGGCTACACCACGCTTCATAGACTTTCCACTAGATTTTCCAGGGACTCAAGTCCATCAAAATCGCCTTTGAAAGAACAGTTATCACCAAAATCGCCATTGTTACAAAGGGAGAAAACTGATTTCGAACCTTTTGAAGCAATTATTGAGCGGAATCAGTTGAATATCGATGATTATTTTAAATTGAATGATGATATTTCTGATTCTGATGACGAGAAATCGGTGTGTTATGCCGAAATTTGACAGATCAAAAGATTGACTGTTAAAAAGTAAGATTTATGACCATTTTCATCTTCAAAATGTCAAGCTATTACGAAATTGGTACTTATACCTTGACTGCAATGTCCAACTTTCTAGTAGGCTATCACAGAATGCAGTGATTTGATTGGATTGTATGCCAGCGAATACAGTCAATCAGAGTCCTTGATTGAAAGGTTATAAATATTGTACTTTGTGTTCATAGCCGAGGTCTCTAATTGGCTATATTCGCTAGCGTATCAAATTGCTTCATTTACAAACTTATTGGCCATTACAGTCAAGGTATAAGTACCGCTACGAAGTTCGTAATAGCTTGACAGTGTGAAGATGGGCACTTTAATACTACATCTTTTGGATGACCAAGGACAATAATCGTGGCTGAAAAGATTCAATATTTACCAGTGGACTTACTGGTGTCAGAATTATACGACAGAATACCTTTATACTCCAATAATCCATAAAACTAGGCAATTATTAACAACAGGTTATTACTGGAAAAAAAAAGTTAATATCTTTAAGAATGATCACTTAGTTTACACATGAATTCTGTTATTTTTCAGAGGTATTAGTCCTTTAAATTTCTTTTGTAAAGAGAAGTCAACTCTACAAGACAGTAAAATACAGACTACAATTAATATAACATATTTTCTAATAAAATCTCACAGTGGTTATAATGCAACATATTGTTATTGTTGTCATTCAAATATCTTATGCAAGGGAAATAAATATTGAAATAAAACTAACTGTTAGTTCATTGACCAAGTAAAGGGAAATAAATACCGATACCGAAATCGAAACTAAGAAAATGGCGCACTGTCGTTCAAATTCTAATTTCTCTAAATTACTAAGTGATGGAAAGAAATACCACTATTCTATTCTGTACAACCATTTTGAAGGACCATCCAGTAAAAGGCAAGGAGACTATTTACTGGCTTGGGATTTTTTAAAGGATTTGAATAAAAGGTTACGTGTAAAAGGATATGATAAAGTAATGTATCACGATATAGCTATACCCGGAAGCAATATTTTCGATAATTTATTCAACATGGTTAACGAATCACAGAAAATTGTGGTGATTCTGACGACTGAATTTTTACGAAGCGGTTGGCACAAATATTCTGGACAAGCTGCTATTAAAAAACTTTTAGACAAAAACGAATCCCAAACAAGGTTCATCCCAATTGCAATAAACGTGGATATTGTTCCAGATAACTTGGGGTTTTCACACACACTGGTTATCTTCCACAATGATGCAGCAGACGATGATTTCTGGGATAAGATTTACCGGGCAATGGGACCTAAGGAAGTACATTTCGAACAGACTAGTGTAGAGGAAACATCCAAGCCTATTCAATGTGGTAGGTCTATATATTCATGGAAACAGTACGGAAGTAAATAGAGAAAGACCCACTGAAAATTATTTTCATAACTATATTCTGAATAAATTCCATAGATATATAGTGTTCTGAAGAGTGAGCATAATCTGTCTCGATGAAAGTCACCTAGTCTCTGGTACCACGCTTTCGACTTGGATATGTCTTGAATAAAGTAGAACTGTGTCATAGAGACTATTAATTCGCAAAATTTGCCCTACAATATAACTAGATATTCATACCCCCAGTTAAGGGTATATCTACCTCTTAAAAGGACAGACGGAGTTGGGGGTTGATTTGAGTTTTGAAATTCCTGTCCTTTCCCTTTAAGATGAATTAAAAATTGAAATGCTTAAACTAAGCCAAAATGAGTCTTTGTTCATCAGTAGACTTATCTGGTGTCAAAACTATACAACAGAATACCTCTATTATCCAATAAATCCATAAAACTACGTAACGATTTTTTAAATTCTAAGAGCTAGCTCTCCTATATTTATCACCCATGTCACTCATTATAAAATCGTTATTTTGAGTCCACTCAAGTATTAAAAGTTTGGTGTATGGTCGTTATTCAAAATTAAATTTATCATTTTTTTTTAGGCGATAAATTGCCGGTAGAAATAAATATTCCACATGATTCGCCGGAAATTTCGCACAATTCTGACGTAGAGGAAGATGGTCTCAAAAGTATGTCTATTGAAGATGAAGATGAAGATAGAGAACCGAGGGAGGATCAAGAAAATGGTAGAATGAGTAGCGAAAGCTCAGCAGAACAACTTCCGACCGGCAGAAACCCGTCTCGTGACCTTGTAGATGACAACAGTCATGTTTATTCGCCGATGTCCAATCTCGGGAACTTTACAGAATGCACCGTTCGAGATAAAGGTTTTCAGGATTCGGGGATATCCAGAGAAACAAACCTCGATCAGTCGAAACAATCGCAAGTACTGAAAGAAGGTTCCAGTCTTACTATTGAACCAAATAAAGAAGGGACCAATGCTACTAGCGAATCAAAACCAGAAGGAACCAATGCTTCTAGCAAACCAAAAGCAGAATATACCATTGCTACTAACGATCCAAGAACAGGCGGGGCCAATGCTAATAGCGAAATAATACCAGAAGATACTGCCTTCCAATCTCATACACCTCTCAACTCCCCAACAACAAACAGTCCACCACGATCCTGTAAGTACTATCTTGATATTTGGTTATGACATACTATTTGTTAGCATCTGTAAGCTTATATTCGTTAGTCATTGTATTAAGTTTATGATGTTGGACGAGTAAGGATTGAGTGGATACAGACTGGATTGGTGACAGGGTATAAAAGAGTATTCATTGAGTAGAATAAGTTTTGGCCTATAGCTCAACCTCTTATATTTCTATTTCAGTGTTCAAAAGAATAATTTCGCTAGACTGGATATTTGATGGTTTGGAATAAGTAGCCCACCTCAATAAGATGTTCACCATTGTTTTTTGTTTTCTACCGGTATCTTAATAAGCCTTGGTCATCCAAACACTTAGAAAACTTACAACATGAACTGTAATTTGACTATATTGATTATAAAATACAAGTTGTCCTGACACTTTATGAACTTTCAGGAATCATTCCCTGTAATACATGAATAATAGCGCATAATATCGGTGATGTTCATTGAAATAATATGAGATTTGTAATATTTCTACCCAGGATGTGATTTTACTTTGCTGATTGATGAGCCTTATGGTTGATATTTGACTGGTATTCAAAATGGGGATTGTGTGGACCGATGGACCTATGGTAAAAAATAGTTTGTGATGTGCTGAATTGATCTAAATGTGTTCTAATTTGGACGAGTTGTCCTGACTATAGTGCAATTTGGCGTCCATGTGAATAACGTCATATAATTTTTTGCCCATAGGCCTACAATATGCGCCCATTCAAATAACGTTATATATATATATATATTTATAATCATTTTTATTTTTAAATTTCATTTGTTTTGGAATAAAATCTGGGGAAATGAAAAAGTTTAACTGTGTTCACATGATATTTGAGATATTTCATCTTTTAAAGAGTATCCAGACGCATCCAGACTCACTGAGATACGCCTAAATATATATTCTATTAAATCCACTTA